ATGAAGGACGGATGGCAGTTGGAAAACCCTTCGTCTCCTGACAACGCGTGTCCTCGGCGTCAGAAGATCGAAGGCTGGGGGGCAGTTGATGGGACTCTTCTGAAAAAGCCTATGATGAAGACACGTGTCCTCGGGGGATTTTTAGAACAATGTTGCTCGGGTTCAAGCACCATCGGCAAAGCTTCCTCTCCCCGAGGTACCTCTCATATAGGATCACATATTCGGTACAGTATACAAAGACATATGTCCTCGGTCACCATGTACCTCGGGAACACACCACCCCTTGGTCCCCCAGGNTTGTATATGGCTTTTCTAATCTGGTTTTTGCAAACGTAAGCCGAAATGAGACGATAGTCATTTTCTTGGGTTTAGAACAAATATTTTAGAAGATTTTGAATTTGGTGGCGTTAGCTTTGTTGCACTCCAGACGACATGTATGTTTATGTTAATTAGAAAAAAATCATATTTTTTTTATTTTTAGTATTTTTTGATATTTTAGAGATTTTATTTTCGTTTTAGGAACAATTAGGATTTTGGTTGTTCTTATTTATATTGCTCTTTTTATTACGAGTTGATCATCGAATAATATTATAATTCATAGTTTTTCTCTACCCTCTCTGTGAATTCAGTGTTACGTTTTGTTCAATACATAAGGAATCAAAATTTTCTTTATTTCGTCGTGTCATTTTACTTCTATTATGGTAATTATTTTTATCACTTTTTTTGGTACAAAAAAAATACTATTTTTGTGGAGTAGTTATAAAAATATGTACAAATATAATAAATATTAATACGGTACCAATTTTTCTTTTTGATATGATACAATTAATTAGTATNAAGGATTTAAGAGGGACAAATCTAGGCCTATTAATTGAGTGAATTTGAGCCGAACTTAAAAAATTTTAATAAAACACTTCTGAAAAAGGGGTACATGGCAACACGTATTCTCGGCGCCGAGGTAACAGTTTGATTCTAATGAAGACATGTGTCCTCAGCACTGAGGGCACGTCTGCTCTGAGAAAGACACATGTTCTCGACTCCGAAGGTGTGTGTTGATCTGCCACAAGTACTTGTCCTCAGCGTTGAGGTACTCCCCCTCTCTATGGTAGACATGTGCCCTCTGCTTCAAAGGTACCTCCACTCTGAGGGAGCCAAGTGTCCTCGGCTCCAAGGGTACTCACTGAAACTCTGATCTGGCCACGAGTCTTTGGCTTCTGAAAAAGCTATTGATTTGTAGCTGAACAGTCTAAATTAGAATAATAATCACGAGAGCACTCTGCACAATGAAGTCAGAATAGCAGAATGAACTGGACACTCAACCAAGGGGAGTCAGATGCGTGGCATAAAGTGCAGGATGAGGGGTAAATAGACAGTACTACCCATGTTGACTTACGGCNCTGGACACTCAACCAAGGGGAGTCGGATGCGTGGCATAAAGTGCAGGATGAGGGGTAAATAGACAAAACTACCCCTGTTGACTTACGACTATCCCAAACAAGCATTTAATGAATCCTCAGTGATAGGACATCCACAGAAGCTTAGGACGCCGAGAATATGGAGTATTAAATGCTCTAGGCTCCGAGAATTTAAAGTCTTTATATCGAAGAAAGAGCATTAAATACTCGGGAGCCCGAGCAATCANATCCTCAGTGATAGGACATCCACAGAAGCTTAGGACGCCGAGAATATGGAGTATTAAATGCTCTGGGCTCCGAGAATTTAAAGTCTTTACATCGAAGAAAGAGCATTAAATACTCGGGAGCCCAAGCAATAAAAAATGAGGTCTCCCCCACGCAAAATAGGAGTCACACTGTCCTATGTCTGGGTACTACCTACTGACTAGGCTACCAATAATTATGAGCCTTTGGGGATATAAATAGTTCCCAAAAATGTGAAGAAAATGTATGCAAAATCATCTCTTAAGAACTATACAGTGTTTCCTTGTTTCTCTCTCTCAAAGAACTGATTTAATAGTCTGAGGAGATATGTCAAAAAATATTCTGNTAGGCTACCAATAATGATGAGCCTTTGGGGATATAAATAGTTCCCAAAAATGTGAAGAAAATGTATGCAAAATCATCTCTTAAGAACTATACAGTGTTTCCTTGTTCCCCTCTCTCAAAGAACTGATTTAATCGTCTGAGGGGATATGTCAAAAAATATTCCGGTGCCCTTCTAACTTATTTTTTGTATGCTAGGAACAATCTGTAACCCATCGAGATCGATCAAATAGCCCCTGAAGCAATTCATCATTACTCCTTAGACCTCATTTGGTCTTCTTAACTTGTTCCTTGTTACAAGATCAACCACTTTCTCGAGGAACACGAGATCACAAAGAGAGAGATCTATCTTTTTCATCTATTGTGCAAAAATCACTGCACACAAGCTTGTTTCTTAATTGAGTTNAACCCATCGAGATCGATCAAATAGCCCCTGAAGCAATTCATCATTACTCCTTAGACGTCATTTGGTCTTCTTAACTTGTTCCTTGTTATAGGATCAACCACTTTCTCGAGGAACACGAGATCACAAAGAGAGAGATCTATCTTTTTCATCTATTGTGCAAAAATCATTGCACACAAGCTTGTTTATTAATTGAGCTNTGTTACAAGATCAACCACTTTCTCGAGGAACACGAGATCACAAAGAGAGAGATCTATCTTTTTCATCTATTGTGCAAAAATCACTGCACACAAGCTTGTTTCTTAATTGAGTTTAAAAAATTGTTCAAGTTCAGCTTGTTTAGAAAACGAGTCGAGCCTGAACAAGTCAAAAATAAGTGGAGCCCGAGGCGAGCCTAAATATTTGTACATAAACAAGTCGAGTCTATCGAATTTTAACCGAGCTTATAAAGCTTGTTTTCTAAACAAGTTTAAAAACTTATTTAAGTTTAGACTCGTTTAGAAAACGAATCAAGTCTGAACGAGCCGAATCTAAATTGAACTCAAGTCAAACTCGAGTAGCNATATTTGTACATAAACAAGTCGAGTCTATCGAATTTTAACCGAGCTTATAAAGCTTGTTTTCTAAACAAGTTTAAAAACTTATTCAAGTTTGGACTCGTTTAAAAAACGAATCAAGTCTGAACGAGCCGAATCTAAGTTGAACTCAAGTCAAATTCGAGTAACTCAATTTGATTAACCTAGACAAATCCAAACATTAACTTCTAAGAGGTGCACAAATCCTTTTGACTTGCCTCCTCTCTTATATTTGGCCTCAATTCTGTCAAAAGAGACCACTACGCATAACTGAGCTGCTATAATAATTTCATAAATATCTAGTGAAGATATGAGAAACAAATAAAATATTCCTATGTTTTGATTTGACAATACCATACTATAAGTCTATAATCAAAAGGTACAATAGCCTGAGTAATCATACTTAACATAAAAGCTATCGGATCCATTCTAAAAAGGGATAAATTAGTACAATTTGGTGAAAATAGTTTTTTTTTAGAATCAATTTCAAACTATTTGCTCTAACCAGAACACAATATACCTTAATATTTGATTGATTTATTTGTAGTCATTGATTATGATTGTACTAACAAAATAAGAGAAATTTACATGTGTAATTTTCTAATTGGTTGAAACAAAAAATAATTTTTTTTAGCACCATAACTGGATCATATATGTAAATTTTTGTGTGTATGTAGAGGTTGACTATTTCTAATTTTGAACATCCCCAAAAAATGGGCTACAACATGCAATTAGAGCACCAAGTCAACCATGATGAATAAGTCAAGATGAAGCCCAACTTTTAGTTCTTCAATAAATTCCAATGCAGTTGATAGTTTATTTTGTTAACACAAACATACATTACATAGTCACCCATCCAAAACCCTCTCTGTCCTCACTCAGTTCACCCCCCAACCCCTCCTCCAACAAAATAACCCGGAGAATGGTGCCCACATCTCCCTTTCTCTTTCCACGTGTCAACGTCCCACCGTTCCCTGGAAATAGCCGTTTATAATATCCAACGGTCACTCTCGGCCGGCCTTTTTACGTTACTATACGTTACCAACGGTCAGTCCCTAACGTCTTGATTTCTATACGTTGTCAACGGTCATTTTGCCTCTTCAACTATGTCTTAAACTTAAAAATAGCCCTATTATTGGAATTTAATTTATTTTAATCTTTAAATTAAAAGTGAGCTTTATTAAATAGTAAAATTTTATATTTTTTAATAATTTTAATAAAATTACATTATTATATCATCGATTTTTTGGTCTAATGACACTATTTATTTTTGTAAAAATTTTATTTTTTTAAGATTAAAGGTTTAAGTCCTCATCTCTCTCTCTCTCCAAAAAAGAAAAAAAAAATCATTAGATTGACAAATTTATGTTAAATATTTAAATTTAAATAACATTATTATTTCTTAAAAATAAGTAATATTATTGCGATCTAATTTGTTGAAATAATTTATTATAATATTTAGATTAACTATGATCCCATCAAAAATTAGAATTTAATATTGATCCAATAATTTTAATAAAATAATATCATTACATTAATAAAAAAAAATTAAAATTTTAGACCTAAATATGCTTAAAAATACACACACCATTCCCCGATCCCAAGCAACGATTATAAGGAACGAGTCGTTCAAAACACACTATCCCATAAAATAAGGTCCATAACTACAACACGCTCATACGCGTAAACAGGTCCATCCAAGAGCTCCATAAATGACCCCCTCTATCTTGTGATCCTTCGCTTCTCTCTCTCTCTCTCTCTCTCTCTCTTATTGAGCATCCAAGTTTTTCTCCACAAAACAATGCCAACCATTTTGTTGAGAATTTTCCTCCTCTACAACCTATTTAATTCACTCATCCTCATCTTGGTTCCCAAGAAGCTTAGAATCTACCTCCCCCCTTCTTGGTACCCACAAAAAATCACTCTTGTGGACACCAAACCTCTCCTCTCATCGTCTCCTTCTTCGTGTTTTCCTTTGTTGCCACCCTCACCGTTGGCTCGGATTCCACGTAAAATGGACTCAGACGAGCTTAGACGGGTCTTTCAAATTTTTGATAGAAACGAGGATGGCCGGATCACGAAGAAGGAACTGAACGACTCATTGGAGAATATGGGTATCTTCATCCCTGATAAAGAACTCACCCAAATGATCGAGAGAATCGACGTTAATGGAGACGGGTGTGTGGATATTGATGAATTTGGGGTATTATACCAATCAATAATGGTGGAGCGAGACGAGGATGAGGATATGAAGGAGGCTTTCAATGTGTTTGATCAAAATGGTGATGGGTTAATCAGCGTGGATGAGTTGAAATCGGTTTTGTCATCGCTCGGGATTAAGCAAGGGAGGAGTGCTGAAGATTGCAAGAGGATGATAGTGAACGTGGATGTGGATGGAGATGGAATGGTCAATTATAATGAGTTCAAGCAAATGATGGGAGGGAGTGGTCTTGCTGCTTCGAGTTAGGACATTTTTTGAAGGGGATTCAAAAGTTGTATATATAAATATATATTTGTTTTTCAGAAAAAGATCACATAGTGTGTGCTTTTTTTTGTGTGTGTGGTTATATTAACTGGTGAGAAATGAAAGAGTATTGTGTATTGATCATTTAAGATCTGGAAACTGTCTTGTTCATCTCTCCAGCAGTGAGTACACTATTCAGATCTGAACAGTACGTGAAGGTTACTGCCAAAATTATAAGTTATATTTTAACCCTTCCAAAACTATACATTTTTCATTTTGTACTGTTCTTTAATTATCATGTTTCTGGTAGGGGCGGAGCCACATGTTCTCTGTATTGGGGCAATCGCCAGATCAAATAGAACAATTGAATGAAAATCATCAAAACTCGTAACGTAGTGAATGGACCATCATCGCTAACGTGATTTGCATTCAATCTAAAAGACTCCAATTCGAAATTGCTTTGATTCTCTGCCGAATTTTATTTTTAGAGTGCATATCTAAATAAGCTAAATATTAAAAAATCAATCGACTCTATATGTCAATTAAAATTAGATTTTAATGGTGACGAGTTTAGATTTAAACCAGGTCTGGACCTGTTCATGAGTTGAGCATAAATCATCAAAAGGCAGGTCAAGTTCAGCTAATGACCTTAGTTTAATATAAAACTCAAGAGTCCAGAAAGATCAACACACGTAAGGAGTAAAAAGATAGTCATTACTCGAAGATAGCAAATATTCTTAATTGTAACTATTAGGCCTGACAATTTTAAGCACAACTCATGAAATCGATACAAATTCGACACGGATTTAATAGGTTTAGGTGTAGTTTTAACGGGTTCGAGTGGTTAACAGATTAACTCGACAGACCCGCGAAATAAACGAACTGGTTTCGTGTTTAACCCATAAAATCGTTTTAACCCATTTAACCTGTTAACAATAGTACTATAAATTCTTTTTAAAAAAAATTAAGTTTCTCAACCTTTGTCTCATCTCACACCTTTCATCTCTCAAACTCATTCAAATTTAATAGTAATTTAATGTTTATTTCTTGTTTTTATTTTTTTGCTCAGTTATGATTTGTTGTTGTAGTAAACATGTTGTGTGGCGAGTTGATAATAAACATGTGTCGAATGAAACATTTTTTGTGTAATGTGTGGCGAGTTGATAATTTTCCGTGTGGATTCGAAATACTCTAAACATATTCTCTTATTTAGCAGGTGACACACAGATTGTATTAGATAATACGTCTAATAAACGATTTGTGTATGAGTGTGATAGTTTGACTCGTTTATATAAACGAATGGGTTATAGATGAAGAATTTTTTAACACATGTCTGTTTCACTTGACACAAAATCGTTTCATTCGACACGATTGTCAAACCTAGCAACTATCCTCCCAAAAAGACTAGTAGCTTAACCTTCACGTTATCGTCTTAACTAGGATTCTGCGCCTATAAATTGTAAATTCTTTACACATAAGAGACACACAACTATATCTCACCACTCCTTGAGATTGCTCATGCTCTCTCTCTCTCTCACGTACTATTTTATTCTCTTTTTAATAAAGTTCTCTAGCCATAGTCGTTACCTTCCGTGGTTAGGTGACCCAAACCTAACCACCAAATCTTTGTCTTTTTATTGATTGTTTCATTAATAACTTTACACCACACACTCGACTGATTTAATTTTGTATAAAGCCACTTTTGTGCATCATCAAATAAATTACATCGTAATTTTCAATTAAGTTTCACTGAATAACACTCGGTCTCATCATATATCTATACATATGGTAGATATATCAATCAAATTGAATCACAATCATATCGAATTGTGGTAAGTCCAAATTTAAATTCGTGAAAATTATGCAACCAATTCGAACTAAATAGTATGTCAAAAATGTAAATTTGTTCTCACTAATCATATTCAGATTCAAATGGATTCATATCAAAATTTGATCTATGCACAACACTCAATTTTGGATGTGTTAGATATTGGTTGGGCTATGGACCCGAACTAGGGTGCCCATGGTGGATTGACCCAAATTAAAGAATGTCCAAAGGGACATGTCTTTTAAAGGTATTATTTATCATCCAAAATACTTGTTTGTTAAATATTAACAGACATGTCCCTATAAAATATGTCTCTTAGTGATCCCCATTGTTTGCCTATATAAACCCAAGACAATCCAATAGATGTGAATCTTTGATAATTGATTTAACGTTAAAACTTTCCTACTCTCTTCTCTCTCTGCCTACATAAAATTTGTAAGGCTTTTGTGTTGTGAAAAACCTGGTGTTGATTTGTCTTATGTAACAACACCATACTGCTCGAGCAATTAAAGAAAAAACGTTGATTTGGATTCTAAAGTATGTGGAATATCCTCAAACGATTTTTTGAATTAAAGCGAATAAGACATGTTTTTTATCCTACGCTTCCACAATATGTTATACAATTCCCAACAGGATGCATGAAGAATTCGATTTAATTTTTAAAAAAAAAACTAACTCTAATTTTTTTCAAATATTTTGGTGGGGCAAAATTTATAGAACTTATAGATTTCTTAAAATTATAAATCAACACCAAAATTTTTTGGAAATACAGTGGGGGCAATTGTCCCCACCCTCCCTTTGTCCCTGTTTCTCTTTGGAATAAATATCTGGATTGGGGTTGTCTCTACATGGTTGTTTTTCAAAGTTGTTGGGATTTGATTAGATAAGATTTGTTGAAAGTTTTTGAGAATGTAGTCATTTCTTACAATTCAAATCCTGATTTTCTGAGAGAGATTAAGAGCTCTCACTATTTCTTAGATTCATGGTCCCAATTCAATTCAGTTGAATTTTTCATTGGATCTTTTATTCACATTTTTTCCCACGGTAGACTAATTTTAGCTCACTCTATGTTTGAGAGTATTTCAATTTACCACGTGTTATTATTTACGACGCCTTTGAAGGTTTTTGTTAGATATTGGTTGGGTCATGGACTCGAATAGGGGAGCCTATGGTGGGTTGACCCAAATTAAAGAATGTTTAAAGGGGCATGTCTTTTGGAGGTATTCTTTACCACCCAAAATACATGTCTGTTAAATATTAACAGACATGTCCCTGTAGAATGTGTCTCTTAATGACACTCATTGGTTGCCTATATAAACCCAAGACAATCCAACAGATGATGACATATCTCTAGTAAATAATAAAATGTTAAAGTCTCCTATTCTATTTCTCTCTCTCTCCCTACATAAAGTTGAAAGGCTTTTGTGTTTTGAAAACTCGATGTTGATTCCTATTGTGTAGCAACACCATACTATTCGAGCAATCGAAGAAAAGACGATTTTCAGATTCTAAAATACGTGGAACATCCTCAAATAATTTTTAGAATTAAACCGAACAAGGTATGTCTTTGATTCAATATTTTCGCAATATGTATACGATTTTCAACATTGGTATCAGAGCCATTAGAATGTTCTCGTAACATTTATCAAATATTTTGAAATTTAAGTATAATATGACCCACATATTTATGTATCTTTATGACAAAGAAACTGTGAGGAAAGTACGCGTTTAAAAAAAAATTTTGAAACCTTTTTCCCGTCGCGGTGGTTGTAATAAACGAAAACGGTGACACACCATACTGATTTTGTGAGGCGGCATGTCCACCCATCTGCATAAGTGACCTGAGCAAGAGAACCAAGAAGTGTCAAAAACAAACAAACAAGAATTATTGACTAATTAAAAAAAAAAAAGGCATCTAGACATCTGGACCTTCTTAGTTTGCATATTGTACATACTTTGTGCTTTTGGTTTCTTTGTGGGATCCATTACTTTTGGCCATTTGCTTTCATGTACTGCCATTGTATGTGTGGTTTAACCGAATGGTACATATGGTTTAAAAGCAAAAATGAGAACAATTGAAATTGTTCTGGCCAGTAGCGAAAGGAACCAAAGTTGTAGCATGATGTACATTGACCAGTTGCATTAAAATTTAAAGTAATTTACATATTATTTTTGGCTTGGGTTTTAGTGCATATGACTCTTGAATTAGTATTATCAATGCTTTAATTATTTAAAGTTCTTAGAAAAAAAAATGAGATAAATGAATTTTTTTTCTTTCTATCTAGCCTATTGATATGTATAGAAAAATATTAGCATGCTTGTTATGCTAGTTGCATTCATTTCATTGTTTAGCGCAATTAAAATTAGAATTTCATATCTAGTATTATTTAAATTGCATATTTTTTTTTATTTAAAGTGGAAACATGTATGATATAAAATTACAGATGATCAGTATGCCTAGAGATACTAGATCTAGTGGGAGTCTTAGGAGACTGCAATTAAGTGTTATTAATAATCACTTGTGGTACAGGAGATGATTGAAAACTTAGTGAACTTTCGATCTCGTGACTTGTGAAAGTTGTTAATGCTTGAATTTAGATTTTTGTAGCAAAATTCTAGAATGTGTTGTGCTAATATCCCATATGCATTGTCTCTGCATGAAGATTAAATCATAATGACTACTAAAAGCATAGTGACTGAATTAACTAAGGGGACAAATTGAACGATTATAACTATGACATATGATGTCGTAAGATTCAATTTGTCCTGTATGAGCAACAAGTCTTGGATACCCTTGACTCTGTGCTGACAGAGCCTAAGTGACCTCAAACCTGCCAAGAACAAGAGAATTATCAGTTTTTGCAGAATAAGGATCGACTTGTGTGCTATACCATGCAAGTGAGCATGCAAGATGATCTTATTCCTGAATTTGAGAAATACTCCACAGCTCATGCCATGTGGAAGGCCCTCAAAGAGAAGTTTGGTATTACTTCTCTTGTTAGACTTCGTGGTTTGACCATGAGGTTTGACTAGTATCAAAAGAAGTCAGAACATACAATGAAAGAACATATGAGGGCTATGACCTCTATGATACGTGATTTAGGCATTGCTGGTCATGTGTTGACCAATGAACAACAAGTTCAAGCTATACCTCGCTCCTTTCCACCATTGTGGGAGCATATGAAACGAAACATGACACATAATGAGAGTCTGAAAACATTCAAGAATGTATCGCCATCACCTTGAACTTGAGGCTGAGCGCTTGGAGGCAACCAAATGTGAGTGTAGGTCTTATGTGGCTAAAGTTGGCTCACGTAAGACCTTCGAGTCCAAGCACAATCGCGGTGGAAATAGGTCTGATGCTTAACTTGGGTTGGTCACTCTAGTTATAACAAGCACAAACAGGGTAAAAGAGCTAGTGTGATGCTCC